TTCCTAACCGTTTTCTGGAATTTCCCAGGAGGGGGGGAACCGCGAAAAAACTTCCAATTCTGAGGCTTTCCGAAAAGTTTTCCGGGAAGGGGAAGCTCCCCAACTACAAGATTTCACTTGTGGTTTTCGAAGGGTCTGACCCCCCAAAACAAAAACAATAAGGTGTCCCAGAACCCTCCAGAAAACATGGGACATCATTTTTTACGATATTATTTCTGAAAGCCCAACGAACTACCCCAGAAACGCTCCCAACTCTGTCGTTTTTGAATATAAAAATGAATTTCGAAGCCCCGCAATGAAAAGCAAGAACAATTAGAAAACAAAAACGGGACGCCCCCGAAAAATCTCCCAACTCAGATGTTTGTCGGTGTTGTTTTAACGGTTCTGGGCCCCCACGATTAAAAGCAATACTATGTCTCAGAACCTTCCGGACACCCCGGGGGAAAAAACAACAATTCGGATGTTGTCTTCTTCTCTGACGGGTTCTGGGGACCCATGGGCATTTTTTTTTTTGCAAACGTTCAGAGGCCCCACATTTAAAAACACCAATATGTCAGAAACCTCCCCAGGAAACACCCGGGGGAACAACTAAATAAGTAGTTTTGTTGTGCGTGTTGTTTTTAACATGCATTTTTTCTATGGTGATTCGGTGAGTTCTCGTGCATTTATCCGGAAGTGGGAAAACGTCAAACAACCTCCCACGGAGATTTTCGTTGGCGGTGTTTCGGGGTCCCTGGGGCCCCACAGTGGAAACAATACTATTTCTGAATACCCCCCGTACAACGCCCGAAAAGCAACAATCCATTTTTGTCATGTGTATATATACACACATGCATGTACATATAAACATATGTACGTCTATATTTATATATGTATTTATAAATACACCTATCTGTACATCTATATATATATATACATACATACATACATACATACACGTTTTCTCTGTGGTTTCGGCCCCCCCACATATTACAACAACACAGTGTCTGCACCCACCCTGAAAGAACTCCAGGAAAACACCTAATCGTTCCTTTTTTGGGGGGGTGTTCTGGAATTCTGGGGCCCCACACTTACAAACACGACTATTTCTGATAACCTTCCAGAAAACCGGAAAAGCAACAGTATCGGTGGTGCTTCACATGTTTTTCTGTTGTTTTTGCACGAATCTGGGGCCCCACAATTAAACAAAAACAAGACTATGTAAGAAAGCTCTCTGGAAACCGTCAACAACCCAACTCAAGAATTGTTCTGTTTTTTGGTTCAAGGGTTCTAAGGCCACACACTTAAAACAAACAAACCGATTTCTGAAATCCCGCGGGGAACCTTTGAACACTCTTCTAACTCTCGGTTTTTGCAATGGTTGTTCGGGCGGGCGGCGGGGGTGGGGCGGCGGACGGGCGGCGGTCGGGCGGCGGGGGGGGTGAGGCGGAGGAGAAGAACTGTTTTTTGGAGGGGATAGGTCGGCGTCCGTCGGCCGATTTTGGCACCGGAGCAGGTACCAAGTTAGAAGAGCGCAAGCACGCGCAAGACATGCGCGTGCTTGCTGAATCTGCACCCGTCGTGTGGGCTCCTGGGCGTCACAGGGTTGCCCGCTGATCTCGGCGGTGTGGGTGCGATCATTTCCCAAGTGGCGGCTGCAAAGCACGCAGCGACACGCCACGCCTGCACCATGCAGCGGAAGAAGTCAACGGAGTCTGTGGTCGGGACGAAAGATGCCAGGAAAACGCCCTTTACGAATGCACAGCCCCCTCCACAGGATCTCATCCCCCCCCCCCCCCCTCTCCCGGGAAAATATCAGAAAAACCACTTAAAACGTGAATTTATCGGCCCCCCCCCCGGGAAATAATTTGAAAAACCACTGGAACACCCCCGAGTTTGGTTTTTTGTTCGAAAGCTTCCCATTTTTTCTTAGAAAAAAACCCAAGAACACGAGAAAAATTATACAAAAAAAAGTTTGGGGATCTGTCAAGGTTTTCCTCTCCGGGGACCCCCCCCCAAAACAAAAAGCATGGACAACTCGCGAAAAACAGCCGAACAACGTCTGAACTGTGAGGTTTGTTTTTAAGGTTTCCTGGGAGGTTTTCTGGAATAGTTGTGTTTTTACTTGTGGGGCCCCAGAACCATTGAAACACACTTGAAACAACCAGAATTGGAAGGTTTTTCTGGCGTTAACCCTCCCGGGAAAACTCCGGAAAAAAACAAATGACAAAAACCAGAGTTGGCGGGTCTTTCGGGGCGGGGTGTTTTCGGAAATGTTCGTTTTTAGTTTTGGGGCCCCACAACACCCGAAAAACAAAAACAAAAAACGAGTTGGGTTAGTTTTCGGGGTTCCCCCACCGGGCAAAAGCCAGAGAAACAATTGAAACACTCCCGAATTTAGCTTTTTTTTTGTTCGGGAATTCCCCTCCCCGGAAAACCTTCGGAAAACACAAAAAGACAAAATAACCAGGAACAAAAACCGCACGGGGGGGTCCCAGAGGGGTCCGACGAACTGCCACAT